AATGAATGCGCACCACGGCGTGTCGCCCCTAGCACAGCGAAGTTCTGAAATGTTTGTCTGCTAAAAAAGCAGACGATCTTTCTGACAACAATGGCGCTCGATCTTTTTGACCATGACTTGGAGTTGGCTATATTCAGCGAAAACAATTTAGAAAAAGTGATTTTGTACGACTGCCTGCGCACTAGGTGTGGCGTGATCCTCTTCTGAACTTCCCGCTTTCTATACGCGAGGCACGCACGCGCGTGCCGTGGTGCCCGTGACTTGTGGAGGGGCACGAGGGAATAAGCTTTCGTTTTGGTTTTCTGTGACACGGAGTGAGTCGCATTTCTTTCGGGGGCCACCGAGCACCGATACACTAAGAGAAGGCGCTTGTTGGCGGCAAGGCATAGGACGTTCAACTTGGCGTAGCTTTTGAGTAAACAAAAAAGTTGTGATACCAGGAATGATGTGCGGATACCATGAATGATGTGCCAGCGTATTTTGAGTTTTTTTTTTTTCTTTCAGTTTACCAGATTTATATACTTGGGGAATAAAATAATGCCTCGACCGTACATGGTAGCTTGTTTTCTAATAAATCATGCGTTCTCAGGGGGCAAGCTTTGGTGTATTACAACAAGCAAATATGATGTTTACACCAACCACGTCCTGATATGCAGAAACGTTGCCGAAAGCAAACTCGATTTAGCACAAGAACAGGCTTGCGCGCGCTTATCATCAAGATTTGAAGTCGTCTGCTAGCGATCCTGTCTCTTTCCCTCGAGGCCCAATGCAGGATCGAGTATTAAGAAAGCTATGGAAAAATAAAACTAGAAATATTAAATCTCGAAGAAAATACAAAAATAACCAAAATATACACAGTTTCTCAAGTTGATGCGGTCATTTTTCTTGCACAAAGTTAATTCAATTCCATTTTCAATTCAATTTACAATTTAATTCAATTTTTATTTTCAGATCAAGTCATACAAAATAAAGAGCTGGCCCACAAAAGCAGCATTACGCTCGTATGTGGGGCCAGGCGACCAACTAGAATACATGTTGTTACAAAAAAAAAAGAAAAAAATGAAAGGAACACAAAATTAGAAACACAAATAAATACAAAGAGGAACACTTTAGAGCATGAAATATAGGTGTTTATAGCCAAATCTACTCACGCAACCATGAAATAAAAGTACGAAATATCTTCAATGGTTAGGCTACGATATCTACAGCTCAGATGCCTGACACCAACTCCTTAGTTTTCTTTTTAGTACCCTAGTGGATTCTATATTCATAAGAGACTCTGGGAGTTCGCTAATTAAGGAAGGAATATTTCTGTTTTTCTTTCCATACAGTGTGTATATTTTTGGAATGACGTATCTTTCAGTACGTCTCAAATCTCTATTTTTATTTACGAGGAGGTCAATCCGTTCCTTGGGTCCTCGCAACCAGAAGTTCTTTTTCAACGCTGCGTCATTCTAAAGTTCTGGAGCGAAAAAGGAGTAGCGCCTAGCACCTCCCGAAGTAGAAAGGTGTTGTCTACTGCTGTAAAACGCTTGTGAGGAGGAGGCGGAGGGACGGAGGTAGATGCGTCGCTCATTTTTCTCTTTTACGGTACAGATAGCAGACGATCACGGTCGTACGCCCGCGTACCGATCGTTGTGCCGTGTACGGTATGACCACGAAGAAAATATAAAGGAAAACCTGTAACTTTACTGCTGTGCACTTATTAAAACTATCACGCAATATTCAAAGGGCTCGTTTTATAGGATATATGTGATTAGCATTTGTACAGAAATTTTTTAATTCATGCAACATTTTTAAAATAAAAAGGATCCAGAGCCTTGAGGCAGAAGGCTGTTGCTCACTCTGTTGCCACTACAGATAATCCTAAGTCATAACAGCAGCTGTAAAAAACGGGCGATAAGTGCTCAAAATGCACATCCAATGTTTGCATAAAAAAACAAGCAAAAAAACTTATAATATGAAAAAAAAATTAAAAAAAGCGGTCCGGGCCAGCGGGATTCGAACTCTCCACTACCGGTCCTTTACGAGCTCGAGAAATCGGCGCTCCAATCCACTGAGCTACCGAGCAGACGATTGGGCTGCGCTGAATACCAAATTATTTCTATTGAAAAAGTCCTATTGCGTTTTGTTTTTGATTCTTTTTCTTTTTTGCTGACTCAAACTTTATGGGCTTGCTGTCACAGATGGCTCTCCTGCCAGGCACTGCCACGATTTATTTTATTCATGTTTGCAGCCACGGCACGCTCTCTCCGCCAGCGAAATCGCCGTTTTGCTAACCAAGCGAGGCTGTCCATGTCGGCCATTGGTCGTGCCGGTCGTGCCGGTCGTGCCGGTCGTGCCTTACGGTTCCACCAGCGCATTACGGTAAGATCGCAGAAAACAGGCGCATGCGCAGTTCGTACCGGAGGGCCCATCGTACCGTATCGGATGTGCAAAAACGGTTCCCTAAAACTCTCTAATATTTCAACACACCTACGGTGGAACATTCATGTATATACAATTGTACGCAAAACCGAAGGTGAACTCTGCTTCCTAAAAGGCGACCTTAAGCAATGTACCAGTACAACTAAGCTGATCGCATACAAATTCGTGATTCGCCCATACTTTAGTACGCATTAGCTGTTTGCAACCCTCCTACGCAATCAAATATGAACAAACTTGAAAATTGTTCAAAGGAAAACACTACGTCTCATTATAATAAATATCACATCCTTGATTCTGTGTCCCCTCTCTGTTGGACACATTAAAATGAAGGTCAAGTTGAAAAGAAAGGCCCCACCACAATGGGATGGTTTCCTTCTTTTCGTTATTAAACAATGCTTTAAACATTCACAGAGTTAAATACTTGAAACTGAAATTGTTCCGCGTAGTTAGAGGCGTTTACAGTAGGTGGTTGATTCCCTTCTTAAATATGATACAGAGTATTTTAAGCGATAACTCTACCCGATCTCCATTGATGATTTCACCAAGCTTCCGCAAGAGGCCATGAACTGCGACGACATTGATATGGTTTCAAAATGTTTCCAAAATTTGAGAGCGAGGCTCTTAGGCGCCCGTTTCCGGCTTGAGTGGCGTCGGCGTCGGCGGAACCGCAAAATCACGTGACCCCCCGAGGTCACGTGACACCCAGGCCACGTGACCTCCCCCCGAAGTCACGCGACTCCCAGGCCACGTGACCTCCATCTGAGGTCACGTGGCCCCCCAGGTCACGTGACCCCCTGGTCACGTGAACCCCCCTTCGCGCCTTCCCCCCTCCTGAAGAGCTGCGCTCTAATTCGGCGTTACAGAGAGTTGTCAACGGGTTTCAATTTTTTATTTCGAATAATTATTCTTTCTCACGTACTTTTATGCAACCGCCATTTGTCTCAGGAAACATATAAGTGCTTTGTACTGCAATTCCATCTTTCGAAGTTTGTTTCCAAGTGAATTAAATATTTTTTTTACAAATCTAAATTAAAATATTTTCCCGTGTGCATTGGTCTTATGTACCATCCGCACATGCCATGACTTTTAAACTTGAATGGCTTTCAAATTTGAACCAGCAATATGTCTAAAATATAATACTAATAAAAACCATTTGCCGAAAACCTACGGACGGTCGGAAGGTCAGACGGTTGAACAATATGTTGGGAATGGGGCTTCCATTAAAAATCGGTTTATGCTCTAAAAACACGTCAATTTTGTAACATGCCTACAATGGTTTAATATGCTTAATATATTCGACGATTTTTTTAAATCAGGATTCATTAGATTTGATTGGCACTTATGTGTCTTTCTGACCGCATGTGAAGTTCCTTGTAATAAAATTTATTTTGTAACCAAAGTCACGGTTTCAATTTCTTCATTTGGTTGTATTCAGCCAGTCTGACAAATTCAAGAGAGGAATGGGATTATAATGATGATGCGACAACGATTATGGTGATTATTTAATGATTTTGTCCTGCCACCAGTCAGCGATGATAGGCGATTTATTTTAACGGACTTATAAAGTGCATGGAATTAAGGAATATTTTAAAAGACGTGACACCCTCATTTAGGCGTCTAGCATGATACTATTTGATATGTATATACTTCTAAAAAAACTATATCTCCTTGGTGCCAGTAGAGAAAGTTAACAGTGGTGCTAGCATATAATATCTATATATATTGTGCTACAGAAATGTGAGCGGGGACCATTAGAAACATTGTAATATTAGAACCATCACGTCGTCAATTTAACTCTAAAAAATAAAATAGATACAAACTATTTCCTATTGGAAGACTTAGTGCTTTTAAAAGGCATAATTAATTTCATTGTATTGCTAAAATGATATATTCCAACCTTGTGCGTCGTTTGTGAAGACTTTTGAAAGAGAAAGCTCAGCATATTCGTTGGATAAAATTAGACGAACGCTAATTGGCAGATAAAAAAATTAATACACTTGAATGTTTGATGCTCTCATAAAAAACGCTTTTCAAAATGCAGTGCCATCTGATGGCTGATATAGCCGTTTATTTTGTCGTACTTATGGCGGTAAAGAACTTGTATTTTATAGGCCACCGTCACTTTCGAAAATCCACGGCAGTCGAAGAATGGTTCACTTTGCAGTTCTTTCTCGACCACTTCCAGTTTTGGTGGTGGTAAAGATGCACTCACTCAGAACAAAACTTGAACCAACATTGACGCATCGATAGAAATCTATACATCAAAGAGCTTTAGATTCATTTGTGTGGCGCCCACATGTTGAATCGATCCAAATGAGAAGTGAGCTCTTACGGAGCTCTTGTGTTTGATTCCTGCGTCGCACGATACTTACCCCTCGAATATATAGGCTTCGCATTATCCTCTAAGAAACATCTTCAATGTTTTGCGTCATCAGTCACTAGATGGCCGCCATTAAAATCGCACGAATGCTACCCCTCGCATGAATTTCGGAACAAACTACTTGCTTGATTATTTCTAGAAACATTTCCAGTGTTGTCTTTATTTGAGAAGGTATGACAAATTAACGATGGACTTAAGATATACTTGGACCTTTTATTGACATCCAGGTCTTGTTAAATCCGGAATTATCGTATTACAGATTCTTCCCAATTCGGAAGCTACTGATGTTTCGTTGATAAACCAATGTCTCGGGACTGTGTTTTTTATTTTCTTTTGATAAATTATTCATGTTTTGCACACAACCTGAAAGAAACAAAAATATTGGTTGTAGAAACAGTAAACGTTTGGGGAATTGTCACACAAAAAGGTTCAACAGATCGTAGTTTGAATATTAAAGTGGCACCAACGATGGAATAATGTCAGTTATAAATAAAAAATACGAGATATTTTGGTTGAAAGTCACTAATAGAAGACGCTAAAAGTGCTGACCTCAACTAGAGTAGCATTTAGCTTCTCAATTAGACCAGAAATATTGAATGCATCGCATTTATAGGGGCAGTCCCTAGTAATTTCCAGATCCTCGTCCGTCCATCCAGCGTAGCCTCGGTGAAGCGGAAACGGCGAGGCAAATAGAGAGGAAAGGGGTGAGTTAAATGCCAGATATTTTACTGGATGTACATCGGACTGCGTGAAAATATGATGGGCTTGGCGCTGACAAAATTTGCATAGTTGGAACAACTAGAGACGCGCAAACATGGGGTTTTCCCCTTTGAGTTGAAAGAGGGTGTGCCACCATCCAGTGCGGAAGCTTGTTGGCACAGCGGCAAGAGCCGTCTCTGCTGTGTTGTCAAATCCGGTATGCCGGTGGGCCGTCAGCCATCCTCTTCCTTGGCGCAGCGCGTCAGCGCGAGAGCGTGGACTTTTCGATACGCATGCGTCGGAGCGCTGACACTGCTGAGGGAGGATTTGGTGCTGCAGGCACTAAGTTCGGTGCAGATGAGAGGAGTAAAATATGCATTATTTTGGTTACGCATTTCCAACAACTTTACTAGGGAGATTACATTCCACACCGGTGATTTGCATTAAACATCGGGCCTACAGCTCCAAATCTTCCCCTAGTAGCGTGGGCATTCCACATCCGAGAGAACGCAAGCACATCGCACAGTCCACGCTGTCGCGCTTTCTCGCGACGCTGCGGGAGAGGGCAGCCGCCGGCACCTCGACATAACGGATTTGCCAAAAAAGGAGACACGGCTGTTGTTGCTGTCTCGTCGGGCTTCCATTACAATCGATGGCGGCAGCACCCCCTCCCAATTCAAAATAGAAAACCCTAAGGCTTCGGCGCATCCAGCCTTTCCGACTACGCAAAGCCAGTCCGCGCAAAAGCCATTGGATGTTCGCACCGTGCGACATATTTCCAAGCATTCTATGTGAATGAGCCGCTTTGATGTGAAAAAAAAAAAAAAAAAAACCTCAAGCGAGGAGGCGAAAAAAAGGCGAGGAGGTGAAAAACAAGCGAAAAGCTTATGTACATGCGTCTGCTAGGAATATGTTTCCATATGCCCCTTACAGTTCCACACTTTTCCTAATTAAGGCATCTGACATGATGACTTAAAAATGATGCGCATGAATCTAGAGCCTCTTTGAAACCCTTCACAAAAATCTGTAGTTAAATTCTTTAAAATTTTCGTTGAACATTTTCTGGAATCGTATTGAATTTCTTTTTAAATTTTTTTGGTGTTTTTTAGACTGCGTTTTGACAACTTATTTAACTCCTAGTTAAAATTGGCCACTTAAGTTTTTTTCGAATTCCTTCTTACATGCATTTTTTTAAATTTCTTCTTACATATATTTTTTTTACTTCCTTCTTGCATAAATTTTGTTGAATTCCTTTTGACGGAACCGCGATTAACGTTTAAAAAACACTCAATTTTTTATTATATTTTTTAGTTTTGTTAGGAAATAGTGTCCTTTTTGGTATATGCACTTCCCACAAATAAGCATTGTAAACAAACACAAACATCATGAAGCACTCAACACCAGAATAACAGACCTGTTGACAGCACCAGAGCCTTATATAGCCTACATATTGAAGGTAATCATTTGGCCGGCGACCACCTCAGCACTTACTAAGTTTCCAAGTCTCCGATCTCCTTCTCGAAAGTCTGTCAAAGGGAAGACAGTGTTTCGAAGTTCGTGGACTCTATCTCTTACTAAAACTCGTTGGTACAACTAATACAAATTCCGCGTAGTCGCTAAAACATCCACAAAAACGCCTCATAGAGCAAATCTTATCGCTTCTCTGCATAGCACCACTCAAAACGAAGCCAGTCAAGGCGGTTGCTTCACTTTAAGATAGTTATTTTGCTCCTCTGTACTGGTTGAATAGGGTCAATAATGTCACGATAGTCATTTACAAAGTGAGAACGGCAGGGCTTGCTTTTCGAACGGCTGGCCTCCAGCACGCGCCCCATGCCTTCCGTCGTGCTTTGACTGCGCAGTCGAGCTCGAGGGGCGCGAGACGTCGAAGAGTTGTCAAGGATAGAAGACCCGCGCTGGAGTCAGGAGAACGGAAGCTTCTCCCTACGGTTCTCAACTTGTCAGAGACTATTGAGAAACTTAGTGACTTTTGACATTTAGTCAAGATGTATCATGTTCAGTAAAACGTCAGCAGAAAGTCTGTAGCTTTTTTATAGAGACTGGCCGCAGAAAGTCAACAGAATAATTGAAACAGGAAGTAAATAGAACGTCTGCAGTATTTCTGATAACACTTTCAACAGGAAGTCAACAGAAAAAGAACCAACGTAGAGTTAACAGAAACTCAATAGCTTTTCTTTTTACTCAAACAGAAGAAAATCATAAAAAGGTTTCAACACAACATCAATAAACTTTCTGTTGACGATGTCAACAGGAATTCAGTCAAAAAAAGTAATCAGAGTCAACAAGAAGTCAACACATTTTCAATAAAAAGTAAAAAAAAAACATCCGTCATGCCGGATCCCGCACACGACCGCAGACAAAATAAAACAATAAAAAACATATTTTTATAAAATATTATAAAGAAATAATGTAAATAAGTTTTATTTTTATTTTTTAGAAAATAGCCTGCAAAAAAACGTCGTTACAACTTATTTTTGATTTTTTTATAAATAATTCTACAAAACAAAGTCTATTGTTTTTCCTTTTGAAAATGCTGAGAAAATAACCTACAGAAAAACGTCTTTACAACATCTTTTTATATTTTTTTATAAATAAGTCTACAAAAAAGTTCAATATTTTCTTTTGGAAGCTTTTTGACAATAATCAAAACGAAGTGCGTTTATAAAGGAATTCAGTAGGATCGCGGAAAGTCAATAAGAAGTCTAAAAACAATTTAAAAATAATGTTGAGACCTGTTTTCGTAAGGGACACACCAAAGAAAAAGAGCAGCTTTAGATATATATTTGTTTCATAGATATTTTATGTAACACAATTTCTTTTGCGAACTAATATTTTCTCCGTGTATAGGATTGGGGGTCCAGTAACTCTTGCACAACAAGGCTAACATTTCTGCCAATCATTTTAGGATTTGTATGCTTTTAGTCACTTAACGCTATAAGTAGCAGGCGAAATTCTACAGATTTGGTATGCTGGTCCTCCATTGAGGTGATAGTTATAGAAGGGCGTCGTTTTTCCTCAAATTGGATCAGTACGGAACGACCCGTTTTAGGTGAGAAACAAGGAGTGCCTCAAATCGGTTCACATGGCTCTCATTCCCCGAGTTTTTACGACCGTCTTGGCAGACGTAAGAAGCTTAAGAAAGATCACCGCCTTGTCTCCCAGAGCCTAGGTGGTGCATTTTACTCCACGTAAAAAACAGTGCTTCTGGGAGCACAGCATGGATGTTTCGTGAATTCTAATGAGCGGATACCCATAGACGTGCGTAAGAACGCTGGCCTTGGACAGCTCCAGTGTTCATAGACGTCGTTACTATTACTCCCGTTAAATCGCGTTCATGTACTCTGTTAATACGTTTTACATGAGCCAAGCTTTTATTAAGGTTAAACTGATGGTTTCTGAATGATATTTGTTACGTAACGCTCGAAATAAATTCAATTCACAATTCAAGTACAGCCAAAGTGGTGCATGATGACATGCGCTTGAGTTAAAAATGGGGAGTGTCCTCGTAGCTACTGCAAATCAAATGCAACCTGCACATTCGGATGTGGGTTGCGCAACGAGTACAAAATTAGGACCCATTGACAGCGATCGAATAGAGCGTCCGCGGCAAAATAAATAAAGTTGAGTAGGCTACTCTAGAGGGCCGCAATATCCAGCTCCTTAATTGCATGTTTCTTAATGTTCATAATCTTAATGCTAAACGGCTGTCCAGAAGCATACACGATATTTTCTTATTATAGAAAGTATGCTGTTATTCAAAAACGTGGAGAGTAGCAGTGTATGTGAGCAGTGGTACATTTGAAGGAAAGCACAACTAAAATAGGAATGAGACATTATTGAAGCAAAGTTAGTTTTGCTTCGCCCGCGCCTTTTGGAAGTGTAACAGTTTAAGGTAGGGTTTTTTTAACGCCTATATTTGAAAAAAATATATATATAAAAGTAGAAGCCACCGAGGGTGAAACAAACTTGGAAGGTTTAATTTAACATGTATAAGTTATTATGTATAACTCTTACATGTTGAATTAAACCTTCCAAGTTTGTTTGACCCTCGGTGGCTTCTACTTTTATATATATATATATATATATATTAATGTCCCGACACTGCTAGATTATATACCAATTTTTTTGCGGTAGTGTTGCTTCTATCATAGAGCGCAGCTCTTAGGGGCCCGTTCCCGGCTTGAGCGGCGTCGCCGTCGCCGTCGCCGTCGCCGTCGCCATCGGCGTAACCAAGGTCACCCCAAGGTCACGCGACCCCCAAGGTCATCCCAAGGTCACGCGTCCCCTAAGGTCACCGCAAGGTCACGTGACCCCCAAGGTGTGACCCCCCAAGGTCACGTGACCCCCCTGAAGTCACGTGACACGCCCCCCCCGAGGTCACGTGACCACCCCCAGGGTCACGTGACCTCCCCGATGACGTCATCATCACTGATGACGTCACCGGCATCTGCATCGTCATCGTCATCATCACTGATGACGTCATCAGTGACGTCACTGATTACCTCACCGGCATCCGCATCGTCATCATCATCATCGCTGATGACGTCATCAATGACGTCACTGATGACGTCACCGGGATCCGCATCGTCATCGTCATCATCGCTGATGACGTCATCAGTGACGTCACTGATTACCTCACCGGCATCCGCATCGTCATCGTCATCATCGCTGATGACGTCATCAGTGACGTCACTGATTACCTCACCGTCATCCGCATCGTCATCATCGCTGATGACGTCATCAGTGACGTCACTGATTACCTCACCGGCATCCGCATCGTCATCGTCATCATCGCTGATAACGTCATCAGTGACGTCACTGATGACGTCACCGGTATCCGCATCGTCATCATCATCATCACGAATGACGTCATCAGTGACGTCACTAATGACGTCACCGGCATCCGCATCGTCATCGTCATCGTCGCTGATGACGTCATCGGAGTCCGTATCGTCATCGTCACTGATGATGTCATCAGTGACGTCACTGATGACATCATCGGCATCGTCACGTGACCCCCCCAGGTCACTTCACCCCCCAAGTACCCTTCCCTCCTCCTCCTCCCCAAGAGCTGCGCTCTAATTCGGTGTTACAGGGAGTTGTAAACGGCTTTCACTTTTTTACTCTATATTCTGTGATGCAATTTCGGGACAGCGTTTCTGGGCGGAGATACGTTTGAACGTATTTGCAAGATATGTAATGATAATGAAAACTTTAATTTAAACTATGTGTTTAAATGTAAAACTGCGTTATCTGATTACCGTAATTTGTAGCTGCTGGCCACAATCAGTGCTGTCACAACGATCGAGCATAGGAGGGCCCCAAAGAAAACAACCATAGGAGAAACTGAAATAAAACGTAAAATTCATTAGTTTCTGTAACTGTTAAAAGTCGAGCAGCATAAATATTGATAAATCTGCTCATCAATGACAGGTCCCGCATAAATATAATAGAACACGCGCATTTCAAGTGTATTGGAAATTGTGAAAACGGACGTGCTGTACTATAATTAATTGTGCAAAGCGATAGCGGTCATGACATGATTACAGTGAGACCGAGAAGATATTATAAAGTAAAATTGTGAAATATTGATGCATATTATGTTTTCTTTAATAAAGTGTTAAATTTAATTTAACCTATATGAGAGGTTTCTACATTTCAACTTTTCGTCAAATGTTTGTACGCAGTTCCAAAAATATAATTTCACTGGACTTGAAAGTCCCATCGATCTTTAAAGCGACTTTAATTTATAGCTTCTTGCTACTTTATTTTATCCTCACTCGGAACCCTAAGGTAGTTGCGGGTCGGAAAACGGCAATATTAAAAAAAAAACAAGCAAAAATCCTTTTCATTTTAAATTTAATAGTGTTTTACTAGTCCTAAATGCCATTTTATCGATAAAAGATAGGTGCCGATGATGATAGCGAAATTATTCAAATACGCATTTGAAGAACTCAAGGAGAGACGGAACTGTACACACTTGAGCCATTTTCGTTCGCGGCGTTCTTATCAATGGGCCGTAACCCGCCATCAAATTTAGTTTAAGAAGTAAGCCTTGGCATTTTCTCTCCATTGCAGTTTTCTGTAGCTTAATTTTGTTGCTAAAATATTAACAAAACTTTCTTTTGGGGCACCTTCACAGTTTGCGCACAATCATCTCGTTTTATTCGTACGATTGCCTACCATAACAAAATTTGGCATGCATATGGTTTAAGATATTTAGAATGCAACTATGTATGTTTTACTAGAGTGCATATTTTTTATATATATTCAAAAACGGTGTTTTTGGAATTTTCAATTATGTTCAAATGAAATCTGTCTCGCAGACATTATGTTTGTCCTTCGATGCACTGAGCCGTTAAAAAAAAAGAATATTAACGTATTTTACTAGGCTTTTTAAAGTGTTATTGTTAAACTACAGGTGTCTGCAATACCATGCAATTTTCTGCATGTGTATTCCATCCACAACATAAGAAAGCAACCTAGATCGTAACTAACATCAAATTTATAAAAAAATGAGATCAGGACTTTAAACTTAATTTCATACTCAGTTATCTTAAATAATATAAAAATGCTTTTTTCCTTGCACATTTTCTATTGAGAGGAATTGATTTTTGAATATTGATGGTCAGTAAACAAAATATTAGATGCTGCTGCGTAAACAAACATGAGAACCAAATTGAATTTTACTTTTATCATTGTTTAAAAATCCTGCACTTTTCGGTTCTGCCCTGGAAGCCGAAGAACAGCAAGTGTGCAGACAAGCTGGTCAAGTAGCAGTACTATCATTTATCCATCGGACAAGAAAAACTAAATGACAAGAATTGTCTTGTGTGGTGTTTTTTAATCTTTAAATGTCCCAGTTTAGATTATGAACTCTACACTGGTATGCCACACAGTCTTAGAGACGAATTGAATAAACCTGCAGAAAACGTACTTGAAAGTTTTAAACACAAATATTATTTTGTTTACGATTAGGATGGGCTTTGTCTGGACATACCAGCAAGAGTATCATGACTTAAATTTGTTTGATCACTTTCTTCTCGTTTTTTCTCGAGTTAGTGTCGTTCCATGCCCACTTGGGGAAAATGATATGACACAGTTCGACATTTCTTTTTTTTCAATTTTATGTCGGGTAGTTATTTCTTGCAGGCGTTTTTAATTCCCTTAGCCGTTTAACTTTTATATTGTTATTTCTCATCCATCCGGAAGCTAGAAAGAAAATATGAGGATTAATAGTTCTTGAGTTACGTGATATCTTTGATTGAATGATATATTTTGGTTAGCATTATCAGACGTGCATATAGCGGCAGCCCGGGTCAACACATCTGAAGCTATATTTAAAAGAATCCATTCTACTTATTACTTTCTATTTTACCTGCAACTTTGTGTCCACATCCGATAACCAGGGAACTACGCGTACTGGCTCCTCACTACATTACGTTTTTGCAGCACCAAAGTATGCCTCGTAATTACTGAAAAATTCTCCATCAAGAAGAAAATGACTATCCCCATCTAGAATCCCCGCTACCGGGAGTTAAATATTGGTATAAAAATGCCCCAATACCACTTCCCGCGTTTGTCATTGGTCCTCTGGGTTATATTTAGAACGTGTCGGGAAAAAAATGTTTGGCAAGTACGCATTTTGAGCCATTGTGGAATCAAAACAGTGCACCGTTTGACGCAGTTTTTTTGTGCGCCCTGCGACGCTATATATATATATATAGTTCGTTCAATCAGGAAAGAAAGAAGAGACATTACCCCCTCGTTTATCCGTGATAAGTTCTTCAGCACCTGGCTCGATACTCGTGCCGTTGTGTTCTGCAGGGGTAGTTGTCATTTGATGTATATCCTCCGGGTCGTTCGATAGAGCATTTGTTGGAGAAGTTCCTTTATCCGATTGGTCTACACGACCCGCTGCCTCGCTGGGTGCAGGAGAAATTGTTGTTGATTCGATTGCTGGTTTTCCGCTGGTACTGAACGGCCGACGTGCTTCCTTCCCGGTTGATGATGGTATACTGGAACTTGTTGCTTCTGGATGTTCAGTATCTTCTGGATAAGAAGATGCCGCGGAAGTACTTTAATTAATGTTAACCCCCACTCTAACTTAAAAGCATAAAGCAGTGAACACATCATCGCTAAAAGTGAGCGAAGCGTGGCACTTGTCAGTAGGGGCGCCACGGGCACACCTCGTGGCTTTAAATGTATCAATCAGATACGAGGTACGCGGCACCGCGCGGAAGTGACGTAGGGACGCCAGCACCGGTTGCTATGGATGCTGGCGTATGCTGCCGCGCGGCGGTTGTTTTCATCGCTTATATCTCCCTTGGTTAAGAGCAGACGGGAGGACGAATTCGCCATGAACAAGGTAATGCATTGTCTATACAAAGCCTGCTGAATTTGTTTGCAGAATACAAAGTTTCGTTCTTTCCTGAAACGTTTTGCCAATGTATCCTACTAAATTTTATTTACCCGTACCCTTCATTAATTTTGAAAAGCGTGGAATTTATTGTAAGAAACCTTAGGCTAATTTGTATGCTATAAACATCAATAAAATAATGAGCCAAAGTGACAGTTCCCAGACAATGTGATACACATTTCTCAGAACAGCAATAGAAGAATTTCTTAGCAATAAAATTATCATATAAACAAGAACTACAAAATTTGAGGATGAGAGCTTAACATTGAACGAGCGATGTAAAATAAATTAATTTTGTGCCTTAAGTATAGCAAATTCAAACGCAGTTTATTGAAAGGTTTTGTTGCGCTAATTCCATTTAAGTAATTCATATATTTTATAAACTCAAAGGTGTATGCAAATAAATGTGTATTATGACCAAAATCATTTTTGCGCATATGATTCCTCGACCGAAAATGACTACCATCATCTTGAGCTTCGCCCATCTCTAAACTATAATTAAGATTACATCGGGTAGTAGAAATGAGGCTGCACACTAATAGGGTCACCTCTAGTAGCATATTATACATAAATATACTCGGCAGTCATGATGAGGAATTCAAATTGATATAAAAATAACTTCATTAGAAAAGTTTTGAATATATAAATCAGGACATAAAATCTTGCACAAATATTAAGTCAATGGAATTATATCAAGGTCTTGTCGTGTAAACTCGGTGCTATGATAAGATACCACAATGCTGTCATCTGGCTTTTGTCAGGTAACAGCCTACTGCCATCAGTTGCAGAGCGATAAATATAAGACAATAACATATTTTGCTAATTGATTTGACGCTTTTCGATATACCAGTCTATTTTTGTTACAACCTTTTTACTTTGTAAGAGTGTAACAGTCATACCTTTCTATCAGTTATTTGTCTTAACAGCGTCGCAATGTGTATGGGTTTAATGAAGAATTGGTTCTTACACTTCACTTAATTCGTCGTTAACCCTTCAACACCTGTGTTACATCCTGGTCAGTTGACACAGGTGGAACCGGCGTAGTTTGTTCAATCGGCTTACCTGTCGTGGCACTCCGAGATTCTGTAGTAGTTGGCGACTGCTTCGTTGTTTCTATAGTTGCTAGTGGAGTAGAAGGTGATGGGCCGATGACTGTTATTGGACCACTTGGTTGCGTTTCGCTGAAACTTGCTTGCTGAGATATTTCCGTTGTAGTTGTTGACGGTGTATTCGAACTTCCTGGTTGAGAATCCTCAGTAGTAACTTCATCATCATTGGCTGAAAATTATGCGCGAATATTAGCGCTCGTCATTACTTGGATGCATAATAATAGGAGGAAAGAAACAGTCGTCAATTAAAAATTACGAATACTTATATGAATAAATCGATTCCTGTCGTTTAGGAAAATAGAATTGAGATCTTGCCGCGAACCTTTTTCGATAAATTATATACTATTCAATGTATCCATTTTCTGAACAGCCTTTAAAACAATGATTTGCTTGCTGAATATAAAAACCTAACTTAGGTGGTATGATTTTTACTAATATACAGGGTGTTTCAGTGAAGGCTTTCAAGTTTCCATAGCAATAGGGTGGTTGAGAACGAAAAATAAAACGGTGAACAAACTGGCAGCGATAGCGGACGTCAAAGATTACGAAAAGAAAAAGGAAACGTACGATTTTATTATATAAATAACTAGAATGTACCACTTACCTTTTTAATACATATAAATTTCCAACTATAATTTTTTTTTATCATTATCAAGAGCCTCTGAATCAAGTCGTTTTAGAAGGCCACTGATTAAGACGATCATGTGGAAGTGTAGGTGCTTACAATTGAAAGAATAAAAACACGAAGGACGAGGGCAAAACAACACTTTCATTTAGCAACGAGATCTGATTATGTAAACAAAAATTCGCGCCGTGCCCGACATCATTCTGATAAGGGGGCGTTAGAGTGAGGGAGAAAAATGGCAAGGAAACCGGAAAAAAAAGATGGGTGAACGGACAGGGCTTGGGCGCAGGATTCACGACTGTTCACTTTCTACGGGGATTTAAAGGTCTGGTTGAAACACGCATGTAAAAAAAAAAAATTACGTAAAAAAAAAGAATTAAGCCAGTATTGACGGCGCGAGACGCGATTTAGTCGGCAGTCACCTCCTTTCCACTTGTGTTCTCTTTAGGCATTTCGGCGCCTGGAGAAGAGGTGGATCGACTTCGCCTTCACGACCGAGATGCTCATTCCGGAATGAGCCATGACGTCATGAACTTCGCGCACAGTATTTCAAGTAAATCTCTCGCCGTCAATATTGCTCTAAACATTTTTTCGCGTAATTTTGTTTTACACGTGAGTCCCAAGCAGTTTGTTAAAAAAAAAGAAAAACATTTTTTTTTTTATATTAGTGCAACAGTCGAGTTTGGAGTGTTTGCCTGCGGTGTTGCAGGATTATTTTAAGCGTTTTGAATCGGGGTTTTAAAGTCGTCATTGATATTTGGAGTCGGTGAACCGTTTCTTTCACTCATGCTGCAGGAAATGGCGAACTCTCGCGTTGATTCGTACATATTCCTTTTTTCTCCTTGGGTACATATTTCAGCTGTTTTTTAGTGTGCCGTTTCCAGGTATTTCCGTCGTTCGTGCGAGACTTGTATCTTCGGTTTCCTAGAACTCGGAAGACGACACCTTTCAACCATTTCTTGCCGTTCCTATAGTATCTTGCCCACATCTGGTCGTCCTGATCTAGGTGTCATTCTCTTGATTTACGCTAGGCGTGTTTCTCTGCTTGTTTTGATTACACAACATCGGTTATTTATGATCTAAGGTCGACCCTTGTGCAACATATTTCTGTCATAATTTTTGCTGGTGTTGAGCTAGTTGTCGGATACGGGGTCGCCCAGTATTCCACGAAGTATTATGCCTCTACTATGGCCAGCCCCGACTTCAAGCTTGCGGTCACAGACGTTTTGAGTGTTCCCAAGAAGTTTTCTACTGCACCGTTCCTTGTGGGATGGTTCGGAGATGAGAATGACCGTTGCACTCCGTTTTTTTTTCATGAATTCCCGGGAATTGCTTAATCTGAATCGTGGGCCATTGTCTGTCACAATCATTTTTGGCAGTCCATACCTTGTAAAGAGGGTTAGAAACACTCTTATAATGGCTTCCAAAATCGTCGAGGTTATGGGCGCTACCTTGGTCCATTTCAAGTATGCATCAATGATCAGCAAGGCATTTCTTCTACGAAAGGGTCGTCCGTCGTCTGCGTGCAGGCGTGGCCATCTTTATTTCTGGGTATTCCCACGGGTGCATGGGAACTTTGATTGCCTCGTTGCTCACTTTCTGGCAAGGTCGAGAAATTCGGGCCATCGTTTTGATGTCAAGACTCAAAAGCGGTCATCACACGAAGTGTCGTGCCAGTCCCTTCATCTTTGTCATCCCCGCATGACCTTGATGCAGTTCGCTGAAAACGTGTTTCCGGTACTTCGAAGGTACAAAGACGCGTAGTCCCTCTATTAAGCACTCTATCTCTACGGTTACCCCAGTTCAGGGACGGAAGTTACGCTTGAGGTCACCGGAATTTAATTCTTTCAGCCATTCTTCTATGGCGAGTCTAAAGGCCTTAGCGAGCATAGTGTCTCTTCGTGTCTCGCTGCTGGTCCGCTTTTGTGTCAGTGGGAGTACTTGAAAATTATCTAGATGGAGACATATGATTTCGTCTATCATTGAAATCGAATTTTGTGTCGATTTAAATCTGGAGAGGTTTGTTGCAAATCTCCACAGTTACTGTGAGGGGTTTTCGATAACGTTCGATAACGTGAGTCGATAAAAAAAAACGTTTTTGTCTCTTCTGTTCTGTGTGTGGCAGCATTTGTGAAATTTGATTTATCCTTCCTGCTTGGGTCTTGTTGATCTCGCTTCCAGTTACGGCAGGCCATTTGGAAGTATCCTCTTCATCCGCGCATTTTACAAGTCTTGTTCCTTGCAAAGCAGTTTTCAGCGTGATGATTGCTTCAACATGATTAAATACAGCGAACAACATTAGGAAACTGTTGAAGAAAACAGAAGACGCTGAAACTCAAAACTCAATATATCTTCCAAAGAGAAGAAGAACGAAAGTCACACAGAATATACAGGCACGTGCTAATGACTAGCGAAATTGGGTGCGCGAGGCGAGAGCTTTAGACCTTTAACACTTTAAAAGGATTTATGTTTTTGTGATAAAGCCACTGACGGCTGACTCTCGAAGCGCTCCCCCAAATCCTGTGTAATAAACGCCTCATTAATTTTTTCTGGTAGCTTTTCCTTATATCTACCTATAATATTAGTGTTAACCATAGTTGGACAACATGAACGATTTGGACAGTGTAAAGGCAAGTGACCACCTACGTTCGATCTAAGGGATAGGTAATGTTCACGAAGCCTGTCGTCAATACACTGTCCAGCCACTCCGACATAAGTTCTACCACATGACAACGGGATGATGTACACCACGCACGAGGTACAGGGCATTACGTTGAGACATGTTTTTTTGTTATGCACTTGTGTCGGTATGCGTTTTTTATGCCGAGATGAACCTTCAACAAATATGAGCCATGTTTTTTGGAGGGGGAAGGGGGGGGGGCAGAAAAAACAACCGGTACGCCATACCGTTGAGCTACATGTTTTAGGTTATGCGATACCTTGTGTAAGTACGGTACCACTACCACCCGTTTTTTTTTTCTCAACATCGTGCCAGGGGCTTGCTCCTCCATTTACTTTTTTTAACCAAGATAGGCAGCACTTCACTTAACACCGGCCAGGGAAACCCCGAAGACCGGAGTCTTTGAATTTGGGCCTTACAGCTGGCCTTAATGCAATGAAAACACGACTTTTTTAGAGTAAAGCCAAAACATGAACGTGCAAGAGAACTATCTACTCTGGAAAGAAACATATCCCAGTCCTAAGTGACATCTTTTTTGACAGAGTTGATTGTTCTATTGCACAAGTCCTAAGCCCTGCCGTGACAAAGGTGTGTAGATATGTTGACAACTTCTTGCTTCTACTTGAGAATCGTGTGGAACAAGGTCTAGTTAGTGGTGTTATGGACATTTTTGGCAAGTGCAGCTTTGGTCTCAGGTACACCTATGAAGAGCCTAGGGAAGGCGTCTTGCAATTTCTGGACCTTACCTTACGCTTCTGCACATTCGAAATTGGTAAAGAGGCGTATCGCACTTTCATGTCCTGGCTCTGCTCTAAAAAACTGCTGTTTTTATTGTATTAAGTACAGCTTTATTGTCCAAATTCAAAGACTAAGATTTTCCGGGTTTCCCTGGCCAGGGCAACCCGGAAGACCGGGTGAAAAAGGCAAGCGATGGAAAACAAAACAAAACCGTGTGTTAGTAGAGTGGACCACTATCGTGTGATTGGCAGAGGGGCTCTCCGGCCCCGTCCGACGGCGGGTTAAAGATCAATATATCTAACTTTGGAGCAGGAATGCGGGACCCGTAGAACGTCACCATTGACGTCTCCATCGACATCATTGTTGACGTCACCACTCTTTCCCAGATTTTCCCGGAGAGACGTTTTGTAGGTTGGTTTTGACCGCGCTTAAGTATAAAGCGGGTTGTTAACGATGTGGCGTAGCTCTCAGGTAAACAGTATTATGGCGAGAAAGACGGCGGAGCCACTGACCAGTACGGTGGCGCAAAGCTAGTCCCCTACTCTGAAAGCCACTAAACCTCGGATGCAGAAAAAACAAAGCTGAAGGGGGCAGAAAATGTGGGTGGTAGGGAGCTCTAATGTGTCTAGGTACACAGCGGGAATCGCCAGCAAGTTAACGGGAGGTGGAAGTAAGTAAATGGGAGCCCGGCTAGGCAAAGGGATGAGGGAGGCGATGAACACAGCAGTAGAAATGTTGAATGTTTATAGGAAGGAGGAAGCCTTGCGGTGGTACACGAGGGATGGAATGACGTCGTTGGTAGAAGGGCAAGGGACCTGGCCACAGACATCGAGGAGGGCGTGAAGCAGTTGAGGGTAATAACATTCCGGATGGTGTGCATTGTAACGAGCACCTTGCCGGAGGTCAGGGGCTGAGGACTAGGTACAGGGAATACGTAGTAGATAGAGGAGGCTAACAGGACTAAACAGAGACAGCTCTAAGAACTAATATGAAGGAATAAAGGTGGACAGAGGGGTATATCTGAAAAGTCGGATCCTTCTTCTCCCCCCCCCCCCCCCCTCTCCGCCGACTCGGCGTCCACTATGAGGAACTGACGGGGATGCGGGTGGGGCGGACGATGGGCTCT